GGGGTCTGCATGCAGCCCGCAGGCCACCAGTTTTGACAGCCCTAGTGTAGAGAGATGTAAATACTCCCTTCCAAAAGTGTATGTGGTTGCTTCAGAAAGTTTGTGGAAGAAGTCCGTTATATTTTTTTGTTGTTACCTTTTATTTTCATTTTTCCAGGAATTTTTTTAAGCCCCTTCATCTAGAGCTAGATGGGAAGATACTGTCAAGAAACAGTGACATTACATTTTGGTATTTTGTTTAAGGATTTAAGGAGTCTCTGATTTTGTAGCAATACTTTTGACTTGCCCTTACATATATATTTTGGTTATTAGATTCTCATTGGATATATGCTTTCCAAAGATGTTTTGCCAGTTTTTTTGGTGTCTCCCCCACCCCACCCCCACTTTTGGGGTAGATTTTTGATGAACAAGTTAATTTTTGTAAGATTCTATTTCTTTGTGCTTGGTTAGTATTGTAACAAGCAAGGATGGACAGTGTTGCTCTGCATTTAAAAAAAGAAATTTATGGTTTTTATTTTCACATTTCAGTCCTAAATTCATTTTGACTTTGTTTTTATATATGGGATAAGATAAGGGATCCAGTTTCCATTTTCTGCACATGTGGAAATTCAATTTGTCTAACACCAATTATCAAAGAAACTTCTTTCCCCGTTGAACGGGCTTCTCTCTCGGCACAAACCAGGTGACTATATATGAGTAGGGTTATTTCTGAGCTCGTTTCTCTTCCATTGGTTCCTAGGTACGTTGTTCTAATACCAGGCCATTTTGATTACTATAGCCATAAGATGTTTTAATTACTTCTCTTGTATAAAGATAAGACTTCAAATTCCCTTTAACAGGAGGCAAAGATGGACCAGTGGGATTTGCTGACTTTGTTTATAAGCACATTGTTCCTGCATGTTTTCTGGCACCATTAAAGCAAACCTTTGACCTGGCAGATGCACAGACAGTATTGGTAAGCACCTACGAGTTTTTATTTACCTTGAGAAGCTCCCATGTACTTTAACTTTCACTAATTTCTTCAAGGCCAAGTTGATTCTATTGTTTTCTTAATTTCAAAGTAGGGTTCATTTTTAAAACTTGAACATAGGCTAACCAAAGATTGGTGATTGAAATCCACCAGCTGCTCTGTGAGAGAAAGATGAGGCTGTCAGCGCCTGTAAAGATTGAAGTCTGAGAAATCCTATGGAGCAATTCTACGCTGTCCTAGAGAGTTGCTGTGAATTGTAAACAACTGACAGCAGTGGGCTTGGTTTGGTCTTCTAGCCATAGTAGGAGATTTTTCTTGAATTATCACCCTACAAACCTGGTGTCTTTCCTGGCATTCTGAAAGGAAGTTTTTAAGTAGCCGGTGATCTACTGGGACCAAACTGAAGCTTTTCTCCACAATAGACCTCAAGCGGTCAAAAAGTTATCACCTACTCTTAGTGACTTCATGTTAACAGAATAAACTATTACCTCATTTTGCACCAACTTCATGATCCTGGGTTCCATATTAGATGATTTTTTTTAAATAATTGAATCCTCACTGAATCTGCATATATTTAGAAAAATAGTATTCTGTTTTACAGAAAACAGATCATTTGTAAGCTTCTCACTGAAATGAATTTTGAAATAGTGGGTGCAACAATGAGCTTAAACAGCAGTGGTTGTCATGAGGAGGATAGGACTTGGCACTGTTTCATTCTCTGATGCATAAAGTTGCTATGGATCAGAATGGATTCTACAGCACCTAATAATAGCAGCAGCAAAACTCATTGTCAAAGGCTTGATGGGAACTTTAAATCAGCTCTGATTCCAAAATGTGTGCCCTGTCTTTGCACTGCGTCCTTTCAGAAGCATGAAGCATGGTCCTGAGTTCAGTGAACAGTGTCCTTTACCTGTATGACTTGTACTTTAAGAGTAGTACTAGGGGCATGAGGAGAGGTGCAGACTATGAACTCCCTGTCAAGATTCCCACTTGATTATAGGAAATCACAGATGCTATTAAGTCAGAAGTTAATAAGATGATGCCAGAGGCAGTAGTAAAGGAAGCACGGAGAAGGGAGACCAGCAAGAAGGAAAATTGTTAGTTGTAGCCTAAACTGGAGAAAGAGTGAGGTACTGTGGATAAAAATATCAAAGGTTGGTGGTTGCTTGCTTTTTTAGTAGTGTTGATAACATTGGTACAATCTGTAGGAAAAGCCTGGTCTGTATCTGCTTTTTTCCAAACATAAACATCAGTAACCCATGGCAAGTGCTAGCGTGTAAAACGGTGACTGAAAGAGTGACAGATACAAAACGGGCTCTCATGTAGGAGGTTGTCTAAATAAAACATGTAATTGGGAAATACCATTAATGATAAACATCTCATAAAAATCCAATTTAAAGATTTTTCACATATTCCTTAGCAAGTTTAACCCTTCCTTCAAGGGTTTTGGCTTATTCCCCGAAAGGGGTAATTTTAGAACATTTACTGATGAAAGTTAATTCATCACACAAAAGAGACTTAAATAATGTGGTATCATCTTCACCCGTTCATATATGTGTATTCTACTCCTGTTCACTTGGGTGACCTCATTGGTTTCGGCAGGATCCTCTGATAACATCTAGCAAGTGGAAGGTGGCTAGATGTTGACAAGTGTTACTTCTGGGCTAGAACATTTAATTGCCACTGTTTTTCTCTGATCACATGGTCATTCAATAGGAGAAAATTGGAGCTGAACTCATTTACAAATTCAGGCTTGGTTTCTAGCAGAAGCAGGAAATAGAACTTATTTTGGACTGACACTTTAGTCATTAGTTTCCGTTTCCACCGCCCATTGTCAATCTCTGCTTAATTGTTTTGTTTCCTTTTGGTCCATCCTTCCCCCAAAACACAAACAAACTAGAATATCATTTTCCTCATGGTATTTTCCTCAAATCTCATCTTCAGAATACTGTCATGCAGTTGACCTATATCTCACTTCCCCACAACTTAGTAGCCGCTAGATTTCATAATTGTCATTTACTACATTGGGACAGCATTCTTGTTTTTCTCTCTTTTACTTTTCTCCCCAGCTTATTTTCCCCACCTGCCTCTTTCCTCTCTTTCATTTCTTTCTGGAAGGAAATACTCATGAGCGGTGACTGGAGAAATAAAATAGAGGATCCTTTATCAAGAATTAATCATATTAAAATTTTAAACTTGTTTTTCACAGGCTTTATCCGAGTGTGCAGTGACACTGAAAACAATTCATCTCAAACGGGTAAACTTTGTACCCTTCATTTTTGTTTCACATGTGAATGAATACATGTTTTGGTTGTAATTGCATTTGACTCATCTTTTTCTGGAAAGCTATACCTTTTATAAAAGTAATTAACTTTAAAGTTTTGGTTTTTTTAATGTGGTGGGAGGGTCAATATTGAACCTGCAGCATATTACTGCCTGTTACATTTGGGTAACAAGAAGGTTAAGAGTTATGTATGTTTGGAAAAGGACCGAGAAATTTTAACCAATAATTGAAGGTTCAGAATTCACCATCCAAGAGGCTTTCTCAGAACTAGCTTTCTCCAGCACCTCAGTATCACAAATGGTTAGAGCGCTGTATAAATTTACAATGCCCTATACAGTTAGAAGAGTATAAATTATATATAAAGTGTATAAATTGTAAGTGATTTGGGTTGACCCAAGATGGTGTGCTTTTTGCCATCTACAACACTTTTAAATAAGTTGAATTGGTGACGGCATTGAAAAGTCAGATTTTGTTATTTTTACAAGAATTTTTATCTCCCATGTTTTCTCAAATGAAGTCAGAATGCTGGCAGGGCTGATATTCCCATATAGCTACAGGTAGCACTTAGAGTCTGCTTTTTAAATTAAAGCACTGGGGCTTGATCAGGTGTGCATACAAAGTAAGCTTAGATCGGGTAGACTGAAAAATGAGCTGAGACAGGATAGGGACCTGAGAAATGTTCAGAGCAGCAGTTTAAACCTGTGGGTCGTTTTGGAGCAGCGGTGATACACAGGAAGCCCAGTTGTAGAAAGTAATAGGCTGAAGAAAGATGGATTGATTTTTGTTGTTGTTCCATTTGGGACCATGAATTTATTGATACCTTTCAAAAAGAAATTTAACTTAAAAAATGTTTTTGTTGTTGTTGCTTCAGGCTACACTGTAACAAACAAATGCTGTGTGAAAAGGATAGTTAGGGTGAGTTCTGGTATTTTCTTACCTTCCACTAAGCTTATGAGGAAAGAAAACAAAAGACAGAAAACCATTATTATTTAGCAAAATGTAGTAGGCAGCCTCTATTGAAGAACAGGGGTTTTGGAAATTAAGTGACCTGCTTTTTAGTATAGCACCAGTCAACAGTAGACTGGATAAATCTCTCTGGGTCTTACTTTCTTCATCTGTTTCTTTTTTTTTTTTTTTCCTATATTTTTCTCATTTTTTTTTTTTAACATTTTATTAGGGGCTCATACAACTGTTATCCCAATCCATACACACATCAATTGTGTAAAGCGCATTTGTATATCGTTTTTCAAAACATTTTCTCTCCATTTAAACCTTCATCTGTTTCTTATTGCTTCATTTGAACACAAAAAATTTTGCTTTTAAAGTAAGCATTCTTATGTCAAGAAGAAAATTATTTATTTGTTTATAATTATCCTTTCATTTTCAGGGCCCAGAATGTGTTCAGTATCTTCAACAAGAATACCTGCCCTCTTTGCAGGTAGCACCAGAAATAATTCAGGTAAGAGCTATCCTAGTGAGTTTTCTCTTACTTTATAAGGTATACTTCAGGCTAATTTTTCATTATAAATACATAGTGGATCTAGCATCTCATCAGTTTCTGCATATACACTTTATTGGCACCAATTACATTCTTCAAATTGTGTACCTGTTTTCACTCTATTATTAAACGAAGCCCTCCAAGCAAAAACTTTGTTACTTTGAGTTTTATATTTACCTTTTTATTTCATGTAAGTGAGATCCTCTGATTTACTTCCCCTCGGCATAGTGTCCTCTAGGCTCATCCATGTTGTGTATTCAGACTTAATTCCTTTATGGCTCAACAATGTTCCATTGGTCTTGGGAATTGCGGTGCCATGAACATTGGTGTATATATGGTCTGCTGCTGCTTTCATGTCTCTTGGGTATGTACTGCTAATAATTTCTTTTTTAAAACTTAATACCAGACTAGTCCCAAGGAATTAGAGATTACAGATGTCTCAAATATCCAACATTTTCAAGATGGTATTCTGCTCCATTCCACCACCCTCCCTTACATATATTCCCTAATCTCCATGAGTTGTGCACATCACTGCAATATCCCATGGAAATCATAAAACATTGAGGAAATGTCTCATGTGGTGTTGGGTGTTCTTCAGTCCCATAACTGAAGGTGAGGCATAAGTGAGCCAAATGCAGGGTCCAGAGCCAAAAGCAAAAATGTCCAAGTGTCACAGCAGGTCTTTCTGTCCTGGATTCCCTGTGTTTCCAGTTCCTCTTTGTACCAGTGAACTTTCTGTGGTCTAGCTAGATTTGTATGGTAGAATTGGGATTATGATAGTGGGCTGGGAGGGAGCATTTAGGAACTAGAGGAAAGTTGTATTTTCCATCGTTTCTACACTACACCCTGATTGGCTCGTTTCCTCCCTGTGAGTCTTCCAGAAGGGGGTGTCCAGTTGCCTCCAGATGGGCTTTGAGTCCCCAATCTGCACTTCCCCTCATTCACAATAAGATTTTTTGTTCTTTGATGCCTGTTAACTAATTTCTTTGGCACCTTGTGATCACACAGGCTGGTGTGCTTCTCCATGTGGGCATTGTTGCTTCTGAGCTAGATGGCTGCTTGTTTACCTTCAAGTCTTTAAGACCCTAGACACTATATCTTTTGATAGCTGGGCACCATCAGCTTTCTTTACCACATTTGCTTGTGCACCCACAACAGGTCTTTTTGCTTCTACCAAAGCTTAGTAAGATAGTAGAGGTATGGTTTTCCTGGTGAAGTGTATGGTAGCACTCTAGCATGGCATGTATATATCCCATCCAAAAAAAACAAAAACAAAGGTTGAGGTCTTAACTCACACCCTCTAGTAAAATCTTAAAGATTCCCAAGAAAAACAAGGCTTCGAGTCCTCTAAGAAAATCAGGTCTTAATCATACTAACACTGTCCATTAGTGTAGTAAAGAACACCCTTCAAAACAGGATTATAGCCACAGGCATTAGAGGCCCTAATTAAAATGTTTCATGTAAGGAATTAGTGGCAAATGAAGATATGGTTAGAAGGGCCATATTAAGTAATTGGCTGCATCCTATATACCTAGGAGTGGAATTGGGAGGTCATAGGGTATCAAACTAAATTTTGACTCAAGAATATTGCACGCATTCAGCTTGATCTTTTATTGCGCATAGTAGAGCGAGACTACTTAGCTTGGAGGCCAAACTGGGGTTCTGTGAAATTAAATAGGAACAACTTTTTGCTTTCACTAACCTTTAAAATGAATTTAGTTTTCCTTCTATGGTAAATATCGGCCACAAGTTATGATAATGTTAGCATTACTTGTGGTTTTGCCACGTCGAAACCATATATTAAATAGATGTCTCAAAATACTGTTCATGCTCTCCACTATTCTGAAACTATGGTACTTAGTAGATATGCCACCAGTCCTTCTTCATCAATAATTTATGACCCCTGGCTGACAAGTACTATGATTTTTGTTTGTTTGTTTTAATAATTTTTTTAGGGGTTCATACAACTCTTATCACAATCCATACATACATCCATTGTATGTCAAGCACATTTGTACATATGTTGCCCTCATCATTCTCAAAACATGCTTTCTACTGAAGCCCTGGTATCAGCTCATTTTTCCCCTCCCTCCCTGCTTCCCCCACTCCCTCATGAACCCTTGATACATTATCAATTAATTATTTTGTCATGTCTTACACTGTCCGACGTCTCCCACCCTTCACCCACTTTTCTGTTGTCCATCCCCCAGGTAGGAGGTTTTATGTAGATCCTTGTAATCGGTTCCCCCTTTCAACCCCACCCTCGCTCCACCCTCCGGGTATCGCTACTCTCACCACTGGTCCTGAAGGGATCATCTGTCCTGGATTCCCTGTGTTTTCAGTTCCTATATATACCAGTGCAATCCTCTGGTCTAGCCAGATTTGTAAGGTTAGAATTGGGATCATGGTAGTGCGGGGGAGGAAGCATTTAAGAATTAGAGGAACATTGTATGTTTCATCGTTGCTACAGTGCATCCTGACTGGCTCATCTCTTCCCATGACCCTTCTGTAAGGGGATGGTCCCGTGACCTACAGATGGGCTTTGGGTCCCCAATCTGTACATCCTCCTCATTAACAATGATATGATTTTTTGTTCTTTGATGCCTGATAACTTGATCCCTTCACCACCTTGTGGTCACACAGGCTGGCGTGCTTCTTCCATGTGGACTTTGTTGCTTCTGAGCTAGATGGCCGCTTGTTTACCTTCAAGCCTTTAAGACCCCAGACGCTTTGTTGATAGCCGGGCACCATCAGCTTTCTTCACCACATTTGTTTGTGCACAGATTTGTCTTCAGCAATCGTGTCAGGAAGGTGTGCATCATGGAATGCCAATTTAATAGAACGAAGTGGTCTTACATTGAGGAAGTACTTGAGTGGAGGCCCAATGTCCATCTGCTGCCGTAATACTAAACCTATAAATATATGCATGTAGATCTATTTCCCCATCATCGTATATAAATATATTTATATGCCTATATTTAGACCTCTATAAATGCCCTTTAGGTACTATGTTTTTCAATACCATATAAGCTTGTGTGATAAAGAACTGTTTGAGTTGATTTTGACAGTGATAATTTATAATAAGATATTGTGAATTTGAATTAGAATGGATTTAATATACATATCCTGGCTTCTCTCTCCTTTTTCCTCCCGGCCACCCCAGGAATTTTGTCAAGCTCTTCAGCAGCCCGATGCTAAAGTTTTTAAAAATTACTTAAAGGTAGGTTTTTTGAAAACTTTCATATCTTCATGCAATCGGTTATGTTAGGATATTATGTTGCAACTACAGTTTGACCAACTATTACTTATTTTTGGATTTATTTGCTCTGAAACTACTCTAAAAATCTGCAATTACCAATGCTCTAGAGTTCAGTTTTCTGCACAAGACTCCTTCAACTGAGCTCTTAGAAAAGATAACAAGCACATTGAATGTTTAAGTGTCAGTCTTTTATAATTCAGTTATGTAATTAAATAGAAACTAGAGTGGTAGGAGAACAAAAGATCAAACTTGCTGATATTAAATTGAATTAATGAGAGGAACTAAAAATATAAGTGTGAGTTCTTTTTGGTTTGATTTTACCTTATTTAGAAATATTTTTGGGTTGGAAAGCAGTAGGATTCTCACATTTGGCCATCTGAAGTACTTTGTGAATTCATAAAATTATTGAGTTAAATAATAAATAAACCCTACAAATTTAGCAAGAAGTACCAAATACAGATTGTGTGTTCGTACTTATAAGTCCAAGAAACAGAACTATCTTTTTCTTAACTAAGTAGTTACTCAGCCCTGTGTGACTGCTTTTTATATACCACATGGGATGAGTTTCCCTGACCACAAGGAACATGTTCTGTTAGGGTCACTATGAGTCAGAATCAACTAGATGATGAGTTGAAGTGCTTAACTCAGATAGTACCCGCTATCTCTGGAAAGTATGTAAGGCCACGTGGGGAGACCATGCAAGAGTTTGCAACTGAAGATAGCCACTGCAGGGGAGCTCGAAAAAAGGGCCGTAACTAAAAAAGGAAATTGGGGCGGGGGGAGTGTGTGTGCACTTGCTGCATGCCTGAGAGAGATCCCACCCTCGACCTGAAAGAAGAAAACTCATGGAATATGTTAAAAAGAATTGTGCCAATAGCATTATTCTTCCAGTCAGAAAAAAGTGAAGTTCCTTCTTTTGCACAATCCTCTTCATATCCGTATCTTGCTGATGTTCTTTTTATATGACATAAGCTTAAGTAAACGCTCTCTGATCGCTCCCTCTTTGTACTGGTCTACTTGTTGATCTGTTTGAAAACTGAATAACCTTCAAAGTCATTCCTGTTTCTAACTTTCAGTGGCTCCCCGTTGTTGACCAAAATGCTTTTCTTTCCTCCCTCCTTCTGCTTTATGGTCTCATGCTACCTTTCTGGTTTCTCTTGCAGATTTGGTCTTTGCTATTCCTGTTATTCATGTCTTCAGCAATCCAGCCTCATTAGCAATCATCCTTTTTGCATTCTACTGAATCTTCTAGGCATACCTCAAAGCATAACCTCCTTGTAGGGCTTTCTTTATATAGAGATAACCATATTTGCTTGTGTATAAGCCAAGTTTTTCAGCACTTTAATGCAGTTTTTGTGGTAAAATTATGTACCTCAGCTGATACTCGTGTCAGCTTATCCTCGAGTATATACAATATTCTTTTCTCTGCACCTACGTAATAGATTATTTGTAAAATGATTATTGGTTCCATTAGACTGTCCTTGATGAATTTACTATTTACCATTTACTTTCTCTAATGCTCACTGGACACATATACCTGATTGTGTGAGGTCATGCATAAGAGTAGACCAGTGCCTATGTAGCCTCATCGTCAAAACTGTTGAGTTAGAAATGCTCCCCCTCCCCTCCCATCCTATAGACATTCTCTTAGGGAGCATAACTCTTTTCTTTTGAGCTTTGACTTTTTTAAATTTTCCGGTGATAATTTTGGTAGACGTTCCCATCAATAAAAAGATAAAGGGCATCTATTCTTGTAACCATGTGAATTTCATAGCATTAGAATAATGTCAAGGCTTTGGAAAGGAAGGATGAATACAGGAAACAGGGTGGGCATTGGGGAAGTGCTATTTTTAAGGATTGCAATCAGTAACAAGAAATTATACATATATTTATATATATATATATATAATCATTGAATGAAAAATTAATCTACTTTATAAACCTTTACCCATTTCACAATAAAATGAGCTTTAAATTTTTTTTAATTTAAATATATTTTTTAATTTTTTTAATTATAAAAGAGATAATGGCATATTTCACTAGTTTCTGATTTGGAGTATGCTCAACAAGTTATAGCAAGAGTTTGCCAAAATCAAGAATCAGATATTCTCATCTTGGATTCAGTATTAGGCGTGTGAAATACTTTAAATAGGAATTTTATTTTGAAAAAGAATGTCTCACATTCAGTAACTTGGGCAATGCTTTGGTTGTAAGCAGCTCTCTTCTCACATCAGTATTAATTGTACTAATTATTTACAGGTGTTTTTCCAGCGAGCAAAGCCCTAAGGACTGGATCTCCTTCCACCTTCATCATGATCAAGAATTCCAATTAATAACTTACAAAGAAGTGATTTTTGTGTACCATTCACACTGACCTTTTTAACATTGCTTTTAGTCTTCTGCAATATGTGTATTGGGATTTTCCAGTAAAATGGGTATCATCTTTCCTAAGTGTAGGCACATGATGAGAGGTTGCTTGCATGCTGTTAAAAGATACAGCAAAGTTATCCTGGTATCTTAATTTTATTTTTATTTTTTTAATTTGAAAGTTTAAGTCAAGTCCTTTATAAAGGCCATACCAGTGGGGAGAAAAGTACTTTTAAAATTTTGCTGATATAAGATGTTTGAGAAATTAAATTTTCTTTTACATGTACTGACACAAAGTATGGGGGGGATTGGATACAACAATCAAATTAATTGTTTGTAGATGTCCAGGACCTTTCTTTAAATTGTTTCAATGCCAATGTGTATTCTACATAAGAGAATGGTTTTATCAACTAATGGACTTCAAAGTAGGTTGGTATTACACATATTTTAAATTAAAAAATAAATAAATTTTATGTAGTGAACTCTACCAAGACTTTTTTTGGAATTATTATAAGTACCATAGCCATATCTTTTAATCATAATGGCTCTTTGGTTATCAGTTAAGGTTTGTAAATATGAGTTTAGGGGTCTTGTTTAGTTATGCTGCTAAGGTTATAGTCTATGTAATTCTGTTAAATAATCATTTAAAGGTGCAGTAGGAAAGCCTATGAATCTTTTCATAGGTATAAAAGTTTCAAGTTATTTTTTAAAAATCTTTTATTGTATATATTTTGAGCAAAATATACCTATGTGCTTAGATATTTGTAAGTTATAACCACCCATTTAATTACAAAGCATTTTCTATTACCAAATGCCAATTTTTATTTGTGGGCATTCAAGAAAGCAAGAGTAAAATGATACCAGTAATAAAAGTGAGTTTAAGGAGAAAGTTGGATAGAACTGACCAGCAAAATACAGTGACTTTAAGTTAAAATTGTAAAAGCCCAGTTAATATTCTAGAGGGATAGCCTTGTTTGCTTGTTTAACCTCTGGTTCGTGTATTCTTTAGAGGCTTCACACGGGCTTCAGTGCTCTAAACTCCCTACAGTTGTATTATAACTTGTGTACATGAATCTTGTTCTAGGGTTCATTCCAGAAGAAAATTTAAACATTTTCCTTGTATCATGGAAAAGTACCAAACTAAGAATAAAGTGACAGTTAATTATAAAATTAAACCAATGGAATACATATTATTCTTTAATATAAAAGTTTAATATAAAACTTTTTTAAAAATAGCTAAGTGAAAGCTGGGTGCATCTTTGGTAGGCCCCTGTCCTATAAGAGAAATAATTGCTTCTGTTATAATAGTAATAATTGTCAAAAAAAACAAACACAAAAAAACACTAACAAGGAGCATAGCACAGTGGTATAAAGAACACAGGGTCTTGAACCAGATTAAATAAATTCAAGTACCAGTACAGCCAATAAGTTGTTTTAGAATCTTCAACATTACCTCTTTCTGCTGCAGTATCTTTTATTATTTATAAGATGATGTAAATAAGGGTAACCACCTCATAGGGGTATTATAAGAATTTAATAAATTAAACTTGCCCCTAATGTCCTGGTAATAGCTATTAATAGTATACTCTTCTATATATAAAGGAGCCCTGGTGGTGCTGTCAGACATTGGTCTGCTAACTGAAAGGTTGGCATTTCAAACCCCACTACCTCTCTGAGGGAAGAAAGATGAGGCTTCCTGCTCCTTGTAAAGGTTTACAGTCTTTAGAAGCCCCAATAAAGGGTCAGTATGTGTTGGATTCAATTATATGGCAGTGGGTTTTGATTGGATTCCATATATGTGAAGGTGACACCTTTTCCCCTGGGTCTTTAAAGCCCTTCGGGGAGTCCTGGTGGTCTAGTGTGCTATGCATCAAGCTACTCAATACAAGATCAGCAGTTTGAACCCGCTAACAGTTCCACGGGAGAAAGATGAGGCTCTGCTACCATAGAGACTAAGCCTCAGAAACCCACAGGGACAGACTGTTCTGCTTGAGTTGGAATTCACTGGATGACAGTGAGTTTGTTTTTTAGTTTAAGGCCCTTCAGAAGATTCATGTGTTCTTAGCTTAGGGATATCAAGGCATGGAAACTAGAATTTATAATAGAAATTAATGCTTCATGTTTTAGTACACAATTCCCATGATTATTCCTTGAAGCTGCCCAGGGTACTTTACTTAGGGAATACCAAAGCAATTAGGAAACTGTTTTTATCACGAATAATCTTAACTTGGTTTCCAAAGCAGTTGTCCAAAGGTTTGTCTCCAGGGAAATTCTTGTTACAGGTGAGATTGTTGAGACACAGGACTTAAGGATTTGTGTGATTTGGCTGTGGAACCACAAAGGTTTTATGATCACTGGTTTAATTCTGTGCCTAGCAGTTTATGTAAATCTTACCATGCTAACATTAGTTGGTTTATAAGTGGCTTGCTTTTGAAGAAAACACTGTGGTATTTTGATGTTCGTCACTAATTATGTAGTAAACATGTAAGCCCAGGCCTTTTGACTCAGTTAATTTCTTTACAACTTTGAGCTGTGAGTTTCGCTCCTGGAAGGCGCTGTGCTGAGTTCTCTTCATCAGCTCTAGGAAAAGTGTCATTGATTGGAACTGTAAGCAGTGACGATCTGGTGTGTGCCTCCATTCTAAACATTGTTTTAAACTGTAATAAAGTCACTTTGTTTGTAACAACTCATTAGAGTTGCCTCTTGTTAATCTCCATTATGAAAATGAGCAAACAGGCTCAGGGAAATAAGAACTTACATAAAGATGGAAACTGGGGCGCAAATTCGAAAGCCTCTGCTCATTATTTTGTCATAGTGTCCCGTTTCATTGGTCACTGTGGTTATTCGCTGGGAAGAAGCCCCTTTAGCTCCAGCTCTGCCAGGTGCTGACAGTGCGCAGGCCAGGAGCCCTCAGGCGAGTAACTGCGAGTACTCGGGTTCCCTCATACTGCCATCTCCACAAAACACAATTCAGTGAACATTTACATCAAGGATGGTAAGTGCGAGTTACTCCGGGGCGACAATCTACGTCTTTAAAACAAGTCCAAGTCCATGGCTCGCTCTTGATGGTCCCC